AGGTCCCACCTCTCAGGAACTCCCACTTGCTCTCCTGCACAGGTTCTCAGAGTCGAGCCAGCTTTGACAGTCGAGGTTCTGTGTCACTTCTGAAAGGTTTACACTTTGGAGCTCATTACCGGCAAATCTTTTTAAGCATGAAAAGACCTACAGGTATTTCATTTACAGAACAAAGTAAAAAGTTTAGCAACATTCAGTAACCTTTCACTGTGGTGAGCAAATTCTTTATACAAAAATAGTTCTCCCCTGTAGCAAAACGTATAGCTATGGTTTCATTTTTATTTTTGATCAGTAGGATAAATTCTAATTTTAAGTCTCAAGATTATAAATCAGCTACCAAAGATACAGCCTGGATAAACACAAATACCACATGTTTATTCAACAAGTATTTTCCAAGCACCTGTTTATTAAATCTTACTACGTGCTAGGGACTGCTCCAAATGCTTTATAAGTAATAACTCACTGAATTTTAACAACCTTATGAGTTAGGTGCCACACTACTCCAATATACAGATGATGAAACTAAGGCACAAAGAGGTAAACTAAGTTACCCAGTGATCCATGGAGGAGGGAGCAGCACTGTGATTATTTCTGGGGATACCACCCATAGGAAGCTCACAAACAGATCCAACTCACTCTGCTCAACCCACAAAAAACTCAGAGTACCTCTCAGTGGCCTGCCAAGTGGCAAACCATCATCTGTCTCTTCACAGCTGTTCTTCCTAGAAAAAAAGACTTAAGAAAAATGCCATCAATGGAGGGAGCAGGCTTGATTATAGCAAATAAGAGAGGCAAGGTCAAACAAATCACACAAAATTTAGTAGGTCTCACTAAGAAAAGTACACATGTAAGAACTGTGGTTTCCAAGCTAAACAACCAAACCAGTGCTGTTTTTCTAACACTGTTTAATTTACACTCCTTTGTTGTTGTTGTTTTTTTATCCTTACCTGAGGACACTTTTCCATTTTCTTGTTCAGATAGAGTGGGAGGGAGAGAGAGGGAGAGAGAGAGAGAGAAACATCGACGTGAAAAGGACACATCGAGTGGCTGCCACCTGCACGACCCAACCAGGGCCAGGGACAAACTGCAACCAAGGTACATGCCCTTAGCGGGAACCGAACGCGGTTCTCTCCAGACCGCAGGCCAACTCTCTAACTGTGAGCCAAACCGGCCAGGGCTAATTTACACCCCTTTGTATATTCTTGTTAGTGACACCTCCCTTAAACCAGGGTAGGCTCTCACCATCAATGTCAATTCACTTCACTCAGTTCTTCTACTCACAACCAGCTTCCCGGGACTGTCACTGTTGACCTCAAGGCAGTGGTTTAATAATTGATGAGGTCAGCCCTGGCTGGTTTGGCTCAGTGGTTTGGCTCAGAACATCAGCCTGTGTATTGAAGGGTCATGGGTTCAATTCCAGTCAAGGGCATGTACCTGGGTTGCAGGTTTGATCCCCAGTCCCGGTCAGCGTCATGCAAGAGGCAACCAATAGATGTTTCTCTCTCACATCGATGTTTCTCCGTCTCTCTCTACTCCTCCCTTCCACTCTATCTAAAAAAAAAAAAAATCAATGGAAAAATATCCTCAGGAAAGGGTTAACCAAATAATAATAATAATAATTGATGATGTCAAAGTCCATCACATAGGCACACAGGCTTTGTTTCTGGTCAAGAATCTTATTCCCATGACACTGGCAGCCTCACAGCCCTACCTCCTTCAAATCTTTGCCCAAAAATCACTTGTACAATGAGTATGAGCTTCACTCCCATATTTAAAACTGCAGCCCCCAGGCCTCAGAAATCTCTGCCCCTCTTCCCTATTCTGGTTTTCTCTTTCACACTTCCCACTCCTTCTCATTCTGTCTCACCTTTTGTAATTGTCTATCTTCACCCATCAGGATGCAAACTAAATTTCCTGTGAGTGCAAAGAGGCCTTAATCTTAATGCTCCTTTATGAACTGTGTTAGTAGGAACTGACTGCTCAACCATGGGGCACTGTAAAAGGTTAGCCAAGTTAACTCTGAGCATGCCGGGAGAGACCCTTCCAGTACTAGAAACAGTCTTCTTCAGAAAATGTTTTCAATACATATGGCCAAGTCACTGCCACAGCATTCTTCAATGATGTGCACTAGACTTGCATAAGTGGTTCTCAACCTTCAAGGTGCATTAGAATCACAAAATGAGCTTTTAAAATATTGTTAAAATACAGAGTCCAGTGGCTTATTGCTAGCAATTCCAATTAAATCAGTCTGGTATGGGCACCAAGCATTGACACTATTTTTTCAAAAGCTCCTTATGAGTGCACGTTAGTAAAACTACATCGAAAAAGATTGGCAATTTCTACTAAAGCCAATCATACATGTCCTATTATTTTGCGATTCTACTCTTAGATATGTAACCTACAGAATGTGTACAGTATATGCTCCACCAAAGACACGTAAAAGAATGCTCATAGCAACGCTATTCACAATCACCAAAAACTAGGAACACAAATGTCTATGGATAAGTAAACAATGGCATATTCATATAGTAGAATGCAATACAGAGAGTAAATGAACTACAATTACATGCAACATGGAAACATCTCAGAAACACAATGTTGGTAGAAAGAAGCCAGACACAGAAGACTTTATACTATATGATGTCATTTATATATGGTTCAAAAACAGGTCACACTAGAAATCAGCATTAGAAGTCAGGATGTTGATTACCTTTGTGGTGGTAGTGACTGGATGAGGGTGAGAGGGATGCCAATGTTATTTTTTATCCGAGTGCTAGTTACTCAGGTAAATTCAGTTGTGAAAAATTCATTATGCTGTATACATATGATAGGTACACTTTTAAATATATATTCATATTTAAATAAAAAGAATTAACAAGAAATAGCTCCCAAAGAGATTTTAATGTGCAGCTAATGTTGAGAGCCACTGAAACAGATCTCAAGGCAGTCATCACTGTCAAAATGATAGTGAATCACCCCCTGGCCAGTGTGGCTCAGTTGGTTGGAACACTGTCCCATACACCGAAAGGTGGTGGGTTTGATTCCAGGTCAGGGCACATACCCAGGTTTCAGGTTCAATCTCTGATAGGAGGTATCCAATCAGTTTCTCTCTCACATCGATGTTTCTCTCTCTCTCTCCTTGCCTCTCTCTAAAATCAATTAAAAAAGATAATGAATCAATCATCCATGTATACATTAACCACAGTTGCCTGAGAACAACACGAGGTTTTGGGGCACTGCTCCCCACACTGTCAAAAATCTTAGTATAATTTTGACTCCCACAAAACTTTAGTCTCTCGGTATCCAAGGGAAATTGGTACTAGGACCACTCCCTTCCCATAAGGCTTTCAAAATCTGAGGATGCTCAAGTCCCTTATATAAGATGGCCTAGAGCAATGAATACAGTTGGCCCTCCGCATTTGCGGATTTCCAACTGTAGATCCAACTGTTTTCAACCTGTGGCTGGTTGAATCCAGGGATGCGAAAAGCAGGGAATACAGAGAGCTAACTGTATCTTTATTGAAAAAAATGTATGTATAAGTGTATAAGTATGCGCAGTTCAAACCTTTGTTAACTGTAATCACTAATCATTAATACAGCTCAGGTGTATCGAACACTTATTATGTGCCAGGAATAACTCTAAATGCTCTTCTTTACAAACATACTTAACTTGCTCTCCAGTCAATCAAAACATATCCAGTGAGCACCTATTCTCATTAACCTGACAAGAAGCAAACCTAAATTATCTCTTCACAAACTAGTCTTTCTTAAAAGGAGGATTTCAACAGGAAAAAGCCACTGTTAAAGAGAATAGGTTTGAATATAAACAAACAAATAATGAAGGTCAAACAGAAACAATGCAATTCAACAAACCACATGTTAAAAGCAATCAGATATAAGTATTGTGATTTCTAGTCTAAAAGCCTGGGGTTTCTCATTAATGTGAAAGATTCACCACAATCTAATTTTCACTTCACTTTTTTTGTCCACCATCTCTACTTTCCAGAAAACAATCATTGTGCCCCAAGGTGGGTTTCACCACCAATGACTCTATAATTCACTAAAAAAAATCTCTACTCACAAAATTAGGAGTTTATAGGATAATTGCTGTTGCCAGCTATAGCAGTTACAAAATAACTGGTGAGGTTCAAGGTCCAAAGAGCAACCTGCAGGAGTGTGTGGCAAAGTAGGTTTACAGTTGTGAGTACATGAAACAGTTTATTCTTGTAATATTTTCCCCGTGAACTGTAAGCCTACGTTTGCCCCACCCTGTAAATCCGTCTCTCTTCAAGTCTCATCTCTTCCCCACCAGTCATCACCTCCTAGACAAAAAGCAGGGAAGTATTTTTTTCCTGGGAGTAAGTTTGGCAATCATCCACTAGATAGGCATTCCTGTACGGGTAAAACAGGTAGAGGTCAAATGGAATAAGGAATATTGTCAGGATTCAAGAACTAAAGTAGAATATAACTCTAGGACCAGGACACAGAGATGGCTGTTAGAGGAGCATTAAATTGAAGAGAAAATTGGGCTCCTTAGTAAATGATGACTCTGGTGTCGTGGGAAAGGGAGACTCTCTATCACCTAATCTCAGTCTCTTAATCTCTAAATTATTGGGGAAAGAGGTAAACTATATTTCTGAGTTCTGACTGTGGTGCTGCAGGCAGCCCCAACTAGTCACTCTCTGGTAAAGTCAGCAGCGGCACGTTTGGGAGCATAGTAGGGCTGGGTAACAGGACTTGGAAGCACGCAGCCAACGGGCACAGCCACCAGGCAGCCCGTCTGCAAACGCAGGTTGTGCCCGGAGCCCCTTTCTTCAGCGACTGGAGATCGGTCTTCAGATGTGAAGGACTCAGGATAACGTCCTCCCTCCCCACCGGGCTGGTCTGATTTTGCGCTAAAAGTCTCCCTCCTGCAAAAAATGGGTCCATAGCTGACCTGCACACCCCGCTCAAAGCCCTTGCCTGCAGCCCAACACACCCTAACAACGACAGGTGCTTACATGGAGACAACTTTCCCGTTCAAGATTTCCGCCGGTGCCATGAGCTTCACTAGTCAGCTACCCACGATGGAAAACACCAAGATTGGAAGTTTGACTCCTCTGACTGCCGCGGGATAGCACAACCCACGAGGTTAGCGGCCTTCCCGAAAGTGTTTGCTACCGCGCCTGCGCCCCCTCCCTACCCACACCCTCAGGGACGTGGGTGCGCGTGCGCAGTCCGGAAGAACGGGTTTCCCTGAAGCGGGTAAGAGCCGGGAGGTAGGTGGGGGCCTGGAATGCGGCGGGAAGGTAAACTCGGCGGAGCCTGGCTGGCGGTAATGATTGGCTGGTGGAAGGAGGCGTTTCAGATCGCGCCTTCGTGTGGGGCGGGAAACCCGCCGAAAAGGAGGTCAGGTCTCTAGTCCAGCCTATCGAGTGCGGAGGCGGAGCGGCTGTCTCGCGGGAGATCAATTTCGCGGGCGCAGGACCCAGTCTCCCAGCCCCGCCCTGACGCTGGGGACGCACGTGCCCGGGCACTGAGCGCGCGGGGCGTCCGCAAGAGAGAGCCTTCTGGCTGGACTTTCTGGCTGGACTCTCGCGCGGGAAACTTGGGCTGACGTTCTCGCCCAACCGCGCTGTCAAACTGGTGGCCCCACCCCAAAGCGGAGTCGGAGGGTCTGGGTGGCGCCCGTGACTCAAGGTCTCAGGGGACTGGTGCTCCGCCGAGGTTGAAGCCCAGCCCGCTGTTTTAGGCCCGGGGCGCCGCGGTGTCCGGTAACCCCGGTTGGCCAGTGCGGAGAGGGTCGGCAGCTCCCAAGACTCGGTTTTGTCAGATTCCCACGCAGCTCGGATTGGAGACGGACGGGGGGGGAGGGGGTAACGTAAACTAGATTCCACGGGACCAACAAGAGCGGACACGGCCTCCCGGTAGGCGACCTCTCTGGAGAATGCCGGAGATTGGGGAGCAGGACTGGAGGACCCCAGGCAGCTGGGATGTTAGGGCTGGTTGTGCAACTGTCCGTGTCCTGTGAGTTAGGTTACAATCATCCGATGCAGTTTAGAGATAAATCATTCAGATCACTTAACCCCTTTCCCCAGCTTTTTTGAGGAATTATGGACATATATGTAAGTTTAAAGTGTGCACCGGGAGGATTTTAATACACGTATTTATTACAAAATTCTTATCACAATTAGGCGGTTAACACTTCCATCCCCTCACATAATTACTCTTTCTGTGTGTGTGGTGATAATACTTAAAATGTACTCTCTTAACGATGTTCAAATATATAATACAGTGTGGTTAATTATAGTCACCATGCCATACATTAGATCCCCAAAACTTATTCATCTTATAGCAGGAAGTTTGTAGCCTTTGACTATCATCTTCCTATTTCCCTACCACTCTTAACCCTGGCAACCATTACTGTATTTCTAAGAGTTCAGCTTATTTATTTATTTACTTATTTTTGTTACAGATGTTCCCCCCCATTGACTCCCTCCTCCTTATCCCCTCCCACCCCATCCCCAGCTTTGTTATCTATGTACATTAGTTATGCATACATGCATATAAGTTCTGTGGTTTATCCACCACCACCACCACCACCACCTTCTGAGGAATGTCAGTCTATACCCTACTTCTATGACTCTGGGTCTATTTTGTTCATCAGTTTGTTTAGTTCATTATATTTCAGAAATAAATGAGATCATGTGATATTTGTCTTTCTCTGCTTGGCTTGTTTCACTTAGGATAATATTTTCCAGGTCCCTCTATGTCGTCTCAAAGGATAAAAGATGTTTCTTACAGCTGCATAGTACTCCATTGTGTATATGTACCACTGCTATTTCATCCACTAGTCTACTGATGGACACTTGGGTTGTTTCCAGATCTTAGCTATTGTAAATAGTGCTGCTATGAACATAGGGGTACATATATTCTTTCTGATTAATGTTTCAGGCTTCTTAGGATATATTCCTAGAAGTGGGATCACTGGGTCAAATGACAGTTCAATTTTTAATTTTTTGAGGTAACACCATGTTGTTTTCCATAGTGGCTGCACCAGTCTGCATTTCCACCAGCTTTGTACCCTTTTCTCCACACCCTTGCCAGCACTTGTTGTTTGATGATTTGTTGATGGCCATTCTGACAGGTGTGAAGTGATACCTCATTGTTGTTTTAATTTGCATCTCTCTGATGATTAGTGACATTGAGCATTTCTTCGTATGTCTCTTGGCCATTTGTATGTCTTGATTGGAGAGGTGTCTTTTTAGGTCCTCTGCCCATTTTTCAATTGGGTTCTTTGTCTTCCTTTTGTTAAGTTTTGTGAGTACTCTGTATATTTTGGAAATTAATCCCTTATCTGATGTATCATTGGCAGTGATGCTCTTCCATATAGTAGGTTCCCTTTCCATTTTGATGGTTCTTTCTTTGCGTGCAGAAGCCTTTTAGTTTGTCCCATGTGTTCATTTTCTGCTTTGTTTCTGTTGCCTTAGGTGATGTATCAGTGAAAATTCTGCAGTGTATGATGTCTGAAATTTTGTTGCCTGAATTTTCATCTAGGATTTTTATGGAATCACAAGTCACATTTAAGTCTTTTATCCATTTTGAGTTTATTCTTGTGGGTTGGTGTAAGTTGATGGTCTAGCTTCATTTTTTTTGCATGTAGCTGTTCAGTTTTCCCATCACCATTTATTAAAGGGGCTGTCTTTACTCCACTGTATGCTCTTGCCACCTTTGTCAAATATTAATTGAGTATATTGTATTGGGTCAATTTCTGGGTTCCCTATTCTGTTCCATTGATTTATGTGCCTGTTCTTGTGCCAGTACTAGGCTATTTTGAATACAGTGGCTTTGTAGTATAACCTGATGTCTGGTAATGTGATCACTCCTACTTTGTTCTTCTTTTTCAAGATTGCTGTGGCTATTCGGGGTCTTTTTGGTTCCATATAAACTTTTGGAGTATTTGTTCTAGTTCTGTGAAGTATATTGTTGGTATTTTGATGGGGATTGCATTGAATCTATATATAGCTTTGGGTAGTATGGACATTTTAATGATGTTAATTCTTCCAATCCATGAACAAGGTATATGCTTCCCCTTTTTTATATCTTTCTCTATTTCTTTTTTCAATGACCTGTAGTTTTCTGTGAAGAGATCCTTTACTTCTTTGGTTAAGTTTATTCCTAGGTATCTTAATTTTTTTGCCTCAATGGTAAATGGGATTGTTTCTTTAGTTTCTCTTTTTGTGAGTTCATTGTTGGTGTATAAGAATGCCATCAATTTCTTGAGGTTAATTTTGTATCTGCTACTTGGCCAAATTCATTTATTTATTTATTTATTTATTTATTTTTATCCTCACCCGAGGATATTTTTCCATTTTTTGTACAGATAGAGTGGGAGGGAGAGAGAGGAAGGGAGAGAGAGAGAGAAACATCGACGTGAAGGGACATATCGAGTGGCTGCCACCCGCACGACCAACCAGGGCCGGGGACAAACTGCAACCGAAGTACGTGCCCTTAGCGGGAACCGAACCCGGGTCTCTCCGGACCGCAGGCCGACGCTCTAACCGCTGAGCCAAACTGGCCAGGGCCAAATTCATTTATTAAGTCTAGTAGATTTTTGATGGAGTCTTTAGGCTTTTCTATGTGTAATATCATGTCATCTGCAAATAATGACAGTTTCACTTCCTCCTTTCAAATTTGGATCCCTTTTATTTTTTCTTCATGTCTAATTGCTGTGGCTAAGACTTCCAATACTTGTTAAATAAGAGTGGCGAAAGTAGACATTCCTGTCTTGTTCCCGTTCCTAAGGGAAATTTATTAGTTTTTTCCCATTGAGTATGATGTTGGCTGTACGTTTTTCTTTTTTTTTTTTTGCACAGAGTGGGAGGGAGAGAGAGGAAGGGAGAGAGAGTGAGAAACATCGACGTGAAGGGACACATCGAGTGGCTGCCACCCGCACGACCAACCAGGGCCGGGGACAAACTGCAACCGAAGTACGTGCCCTTAGCAGGAACCGAACCCGGGTCTCTCCGGACCGCAGGCTGACGCTCTAACCGCTGAGCCAAACTGGCCAGGGCATTGGCTGTACGTTTTTCATATGGCTTTTATTACGTTAAGATATGATCCCTCTATTCCCACATCGCTGAGCGTTTTTATCAGAAATGGGTGCTGGATTTTGTTGAATGCTTTTTAAACATCTATTGATATGATCATGTGGTTTTTATCTTTCATTTTGTTTATGTGGTGTATCACATTTATTGATTTGCGAATATTGTACCAACCTTGTATCCCTGAGATGAATCCCACTTGGTTGTGGTGGATAATTTTTTTGATGTATTGCTGGATCCAATTTGCTAATACTTTGTTAAGGATTTTGGCATCTGTATTCATCAGAGATATTGGCCTGTAGTTTTCTTTCTTCATAGTGTCTTTTTCTGGTTTTGGAATTAGGAATATACTAGCCTCATAAAATGAGATTGGTAGCCTCCTGTCTTAGTGGATTTTCTGGAATAGTTTGAGAAGAATGGGTATTAGATCTTTTTTGAATGTTTGGTAAAACTCCCCTTTGAAGCCATCTGGGCCTGGGCTTTTGTTTGCTGGGAGTTTCTTAATTACATCTTCAATTTTCTCTGTTGTTATTGATCTGTTCAAGCTTTCTATCTCTTCCCGGTTCAGTTTTGGGAGACTGTGTGTTTCTAGGAAAATTTTCTCTGTTGTTATTGATCTGTTCAAGCTTTCTATCTCTTCCCGGTTCAGTTTTGGGAGACTGTGTGTTTCTAGGAATTTGTCCATTTTGTGTAGATTGTCCAATTTGTTGGCATATAAATGTTTATATAGTATGTTTCGATGATCCTTTGTATTTCTGTGGTGTCAGTTTTTTTGTTTTTGTTTTTTTTTAATCCTCATCTGAGGACATTTTTTTCCATTTTTTTGGTCAGATAGAGTGGGAAGGGAGAGCGAGGGAGGGAGGGGGAGAGAGAGAGAGAGAGAGACATTGATGTGAAGGGAACACATCAAGTGGTTGCCACCCGCACGACCCAACCAGGGTTGGGGACAAACTGCAACTGAGATATGTGCCCTTAGCGGGAACCGAACCCGGGTCTCTCTGGACCATAGGTCGAAGCTCTAACCACTTAGCCAAAGCGTCCAGGGCCTGTGGTGTCAGTTGTTAATT